TGGCCTAAAGTAGAAAAACACGCCATACTCTTCCACACTTTTGCCCCTACCACACTCAATGGCAGCAGTAGTGTAACACACTTGTCACACTTGGAAAAATGCGACACGGACGGCGCATGAGCAGAGGTTCTAGCTTTCGCGACGGGAACCGAACAGAATAAGGAGTCGTCATCAAGATTTTGAGGAAAATCTCAGAAAACCATTTAAAAGGAGGATAAGGATGGTCTGCGAAAATAGAAAATAGGTTCGGGAGCTGGTTGAATGTTGGGAAGGTATTAGGCACCCCACAACACCCGTTCGTCAGAACGGTTACCTGAAGTGAGAAATATTAATATGGTTTTAAAATTATTTTAATTATCCCTTTTATGTTCATGTGTTTGATATAAAAATAATAAGAATTAAGTAAGAAATATTTATTTATTTACGAGGGAGGACTTAACTCAGAATCTAACTCTGAGGCCTACGTATCCTGTGATGGGGATCAAAGTCCACTAGTTCGGGCTTAAAAGCTTGTTGGTGAAAATATTTTTGAAGAAAAATTAATTAGAAATAATTTACCATTTTGCAAATAAAATAATTTCTGAAATTTTGATATATGTGTTTTAAATGGAAAAAAGTAATTTAATTTTAATTATTTTCTTAATTTTTGAATTTTTGGAATAAAGAAAGACAAGAGTTTTAAATTATTATTTTTTATGTTTTATGTTTGGGAATTTTAACTGCTATACCTACAGAGTCTTATTGGTTTATATAATAATGTAATTATTCTAAATATCTGCAGAGATTCTAAAATCTCAAATGATAAAAGAATTTAGTAACTTAAGATATTTTTTAAGCATATGTATATGTTTTTAAAGAATCTTAATCGTCATACCTGCAAAGCCTTATTGATTTATATGGTAATATGATTATCTTAAATATCCGCAGAGATTTCAAAATATCACACCATAAAGGAATTTAATTTATTTAAATACATCCTTAATTTGATTAATTTAATATATAATTTATATATATATATATATATTTTAAAACTTAATCATTATATCTGTAAAGTCTTATTGACTCATACGATAATACGATTATCTTAGGAGTCTACAGAAATTTAAAAATCTCACATAACTAAAAGATATAATTAATAAATATGATTATAATTTAAATACATTAATTTGATTAATTAATTTTCTAAATTGTGTATTACTTGATTATTTTCTAAAATCATTTATTTATTATAAAAATTGATAATCACTATATCTGTGAGGACTTATTATCCCCACAATGATATGATTAATTTAAGTCTCTACGAAGATTCTTGAAATCTCATATGAGACTTAAATAAATTATTAATTTAGATTATAAAAGGAGAGTTAATTTTAACATATAAGTTTTGCTCTCGTATCTATGAAATCTTATTGATTTACACAACACGAAATTATCCTGAATATCTGCAGAAATTCAAAGTCTCACACAATAAAAGGATTAAATAATATTCACTTTGAATATATTTTAATGTGTAATTATATAACACATATTTTTTAATATAGAAATCCTAATCGTTATATCTACAAAGTCTTATTGACTCACGCGTAGTACGATTATCTTAAAGGTCTATGGAGTTTCAAAAATCTCACATGATCAAAAGATATAATTGATAAATATAATTATAATTTAAATTCATTAATTTAATTAATTAAAATTATAAAAATGTTTTTATTTTATTTATAAAATTCATTTATTTATTTACCATATAAATTGTGAATCACGATATCTGTGAGGATTTACTATCCTACATGATAAGGCAATTAATTTAATTCTCTATGAAGATTCTTAAAATCTCACGTGAGATTTAAATATTTATTATAAAAAAATTAATTTTAATAATGGGTCTCTAGAATCCATATTAATATATACAACATTAGTTTTCATACCTATAAAATCTTATTGATTTACACAATAGAGGATCATTCTAAATGCCTATGGAGATTCTTAAAATCTCACAAAAAATAGGTAATCAAGATATTTGCATTTGCAGGCAATGCATAATATGAATTTAACATTTAAAGGAATAGAGAAAGAAACTATTTTGACACTTCACCTCTTCTTTTAACTTAAGGATGTATTCTTTAAGGTTTTTTTTAAAAAAATTGGCCTAATGCTCAAATATGGTTTTTGAAAGGAAATAATGATAGTCGTAGTTATAGCATCTGACAATTAGAATAAACAGGATTCATATATCATCACCATCATTAATCACCTAATTTATTTCTCATGAAAATTAAAATCAAGTTGATGTCTTAAAATTATTTGTGCGTGAATAAATAATAGTCCCATATTAAACATATGCATGCTCTTAATTTTTTCAAAATAATATGATTATTTGAATGAATAAAGAAAGCATATGAAATTTTTGAAAGAACTACAAAATTTTAAACAAGAAAGAGCCAAATCAAAGCTATGACATAATTGTGCATGTAAAAGATAACTTATGAAGAATGGAACAAAATTATACCTGACATTGCATTAAGTAGCCTCCATGAAAGGTACTTGATAATGCGGTTGAAGCTTGAGTTGCTTCCATAACCTTCTCTATCACGAACTGCCCCAATATAAGAACTTCAAGAATCTTTCTCCCACCCTATGAAATCACGAAACGAGGTTTGATCCAACACCAATGAAAATGTAAGAAAGCCACAAAGCAAAGTTACGTTCCTCCTCTTCAACTGAAAGAAGTGATTTGTGATGAACTTCTACTTACAGATTTTGAAGAGTAAAAAGAACAGAATAACATTGTGATGACCAGATTTTACGTGAGAACGAGTCATCAACTCAGTTAGAACTCGGAAGCTCAACTCAGTTGGAACTCGGAAGCTGGAAGTGAGAGTATGTAGAAAAGATGATCAGTGGGTGCTGTCCAGTTTCTATTATTTCTCCGTCTAGTTTTCTCTCTTCTCTTCTCTTGGTCCTCTCTCTTTTTCTGTGTTGTTTCCTCTCTCTCCTCGTGTTCTTTCTTTCCTCCTCTTCTTGGTGCTCTATTTCTCGTGCTCCAGTTTCTTTTGTTCTCCCTCGGTCCTTTCTCGCTCTCTGTCTCCCGCTCAAACGCCCCCAGCTCTCTCTCTTTTTCCATTTTATTGTGCTCTCTTTTTCTACTTCACCGTCGAGTTTTTTTCTGCTATCTCCTTCTTCTCTTTCTGCTCTCTCTCCTTTCTCATCTGTGCTCTCTCTTTCCTCCATGCTGCGTCTATTTTCCTTCTTTTTCCGTCTCTTGCTGCTCTGTTTTTTCATTTTTGTCTAGTTTTTGGTCAGGCTTTCCTCTCTCGGTCTCGTGCTCTGTTTTTTGTTTTTTTTTTCGGTCTCTCCCTCTCCTCTTTTTCTGCTCTGTTTCTCATCCATTTTCACTTATGCTCTTTTTTCTTTCACTCTTTTCTTCCATTCTCACTTCCCATTTTTTTTTTCTTTCACTCTTTTTCCGTTTTGAGTTCGGATCCCTCCTTTTGTGCTCTATTTTCGTGCTCTCTCTATAACGTGCCTCTGTTTCTTCTTTCAGTTCCTCTCCCCCGTCTCTTCTTTCTCGCTCTCTTCTTATGCTCTCCTTTTTTATTCTCTCTCTCTCTTCTTTTCTACTACCATCCGCATACGTGCATCTCCAGCTCTGTTTTTCTTTGCTTTTTCGTACGTGCATGCGCTTCTTTTTCTGCATACATCTCTGACTCCTTTTCTTTGCGTGTGTGCGTGCTATGTTTCTTCTCTTTTCTCTGCATGACCGAGCACTTTCACGTCTAATCTTTTCTGCGTTTGTCTCTAGTGTTTACACGCGTTTCTCTATGAAGCTTTTCTGCAGTCTGTGTTTTCGTGAGTGTGCTTTGGTTCTGCTTCTGTTCTCTCTTTGTTTGCTACATAACCGAAGCTTTGGCTCTGCCTTCATATCTTCTTTTTCTGCTCTTTGCTTCTGGCTAATCTTGTGTCTGTGCTCATTTTCTTTCTACGTTATTGCTCCGTGTGTATCAGCTGCACCTGAACCGCATAAGGCTTGTGATGAAACACTGATCCATCAACGTTTCATCCAGGCTTGTGAGATATATATATATATATATATATGTATGTATGTATATAATGAAAAATAATATTTAAAGCGAGAAAAGTTAACTCTTAAAAGTTGACTCCCAATATTTTTAAATGATTGAGATAATTTGAGAGAGATTTTAAAAATTTAAGCAAGATTATTAATTTTTTTTGAAAATATAATCCTCAAAAAGGATTAAATTTTATTTTTGTATTTTTTTTTTTGTTATTTTTAATGAACTAAAAGAAATAAGATCCTAAGCAACAAAAGATTATCTAGGTTAAAATAAAATTAAACCCTATTATTTTTTTTTGAAAATATAATTCTAAAAAAGATTAAATTTTATTTTTATATTTTTATTTTTTTTGGTTATTTATCATTATTTTTATTAAATTTTAAAAAATGTTCAAATAAAATACAGTGTTCACACCACTCTTTTCGTCCTGACCACACTTTTTGATGAATAGATCAAAGTTCTTGGAGGCCAAGCCCTGTCTATCCTCCTCTTTAATGGTGTGAGGAACCCTAGAGGGGACGTGCAGACACCAGCTTTGGAGGAGAAGATAATGAAGTTGGAGGGGATGTCTGTTGGGGCTCCACGCGGGACTTGTGCTTCCAACACAGGAAGCGGAGGACTTGCTTGTGAGTTCAGCGATTAAAGTGAGTGCACTAACAGAGCCAATGACGGCGACAAAGTAAGTAGAGTGAATAATGTTTAATCATGCTTTATTTAGTCACTTTTTATGTGATGGGCCCAACAAAATTTGGCCCATTTCATGTGTCCACCTCCATGAACCAAGCCAGGACAACCATCAACAATACAACCATTTTGCAACCCAATTTTTGGTTCCTCCGTGTTCAATTCTTATTATGCCTTTACTATATTATTCGTTTTGTTTCTTTTGTAATTTTGAATATATTTTACATTCAAAGTAAACTATTTTCTCTTTGAAAGTGAAACATATATTCTTCGTGATACAATATGAATATCTAAAATCACATACCTTTTTACTAATAAATAATGATGGGAAAAACTATATACCTTTTCTTTTTGTGGCACCAATGAACTCATGTCATATTTGGGATATATTCAATGAGAGAATTTTTAAATCCCACAAGTGATCTATAAATTTAAGACGATGGGATTGTTAAGAACTATGTCTCTGATGTTGAGCACCTCATCAGGCATCTCCTTTGCATGAATCACATCCTCTTTTTTGTAAATCAAGTGAAGTGATCTGCTCATTTTCCAATACACATCTTTCGCTTCTCTTGACATTTTGCTTCCTTCTTCCTTCAACACTAATCTCAGCAGCTCCTTTCTCTTCTCCTCAATCTTCCTCTTTATCTTCTCCATGATCTCTTCTTCACTCTCTACCCCACACCCATGAATCAACCGCAAGCTTATTGAGTTGATAAATTTCCCTTGTTCTTTTTCCCTCTGCACGAACATCCACAATTTTATTCAATTATTACTGTGTCACAACTCACGGTAATAATTAAAAATAGTTAAGAGGAAGGAAAAGATTCACCACCTGGTATCCATTGATATCATTAAGATAACGCCCATAAAGACTAACAATCTCAAAGAGATTATTGTATTCATCACTTTCCACGACAGCTTGTGGAATCTTGGGTCCAAGAAGATACATTACAGGGATAATTATTGGTCCCAAGGCCATTGATATAATTCCATTATGCTCATATTCTTCTACACTTGGCACGCACCTGTTTCTGCACCATTCTGCTTCCTTCAACTCAGACCGCAGCAAATCTATTGTCTGATCAACAAACATGTAATATATATATATATATATATATACTGCATACTTCATTTAGGGTAATGATTGAATTAAGAAGACCAAGTTGAGACTTAGATAATTGTGATCTTACAATCTGAATCAAGTGGTTCAACACACTACGTCCTTGAACTTTATATGCTTGGGTTGCAGTCTCACAAATTGTTTTCTTAAGTGTTACGAATATTATCTTCACCGTGTCGGAGCAACTTTCTCTACTGACATCTACGTCCCACCTGAAGTTCAATGTTGAAAACATATAATCTCATATATATATATATAATGTGCAAAGAGAGAACATCATAAATGGGTTCATCATTGCAAAATATATACTTTTCCATCAACTGTATAAGGTTTATGTGTTCCTCTTCAGTGCCCCAAACATCATAGAAATCATCGACCACACATCCAAGCAAGCTTTGTTTGGCCCATGCCAGACGTGCTTCGCGATGTTCAGGGGAGGTAAGTGTGGCAGCGACTGTCAAGAAGGAATAGGCAGCTTTTGTTTTTGAGATTGGAAAATGTAGTTTCTCCATTCCACTCTCCATAAACCACCTAATTGTTATCATTTACTTATCAGTGATTCACAAACTGGCATTGAACAATGTTTAAAGATGTAATAAACATTTTGGGTTCTTGAGAAAGATCCTAACTTGTTAAACAGATCGAGTTCTTCACGAAATAACAATTGGGAGTGATTGAAATCCTCTGCTCCCAATTCTGGGAATTCTTTGTTAGCGAGGTTCATAGAACTGAACAAAAAGAGCCATAATATATATACGAAGTCAATAAATTATGCTAATTCAAGAAGCTCCCATAAAAAATGGAGCTAATTGTGGTCCATATTATAATGTATGTACCTATATGAAGATTTCAAAATTCTCTTTTGATCAACCTGGTAATGCTCTATAGATCTTCGGTTAACTATCAAATCCAAATAAGCATGATGAGGAAAACGCAGAGCTAAATGTACCTGAAATTAATATAGGAAATTATTTTTTAGGTCAATTGTCAAAAATAACTTAAAATTGTTGAAATTTGAAAAACAAAATTAAATTTGTGAGATTAAGATGTGCGTGTGGAAGCACCTCATTGTCAATACGATTAGAAGCTGGCTTATAAGTATTTCTTGAGGAAGTGGATAAATATTCCTCAAGAAAGTGTCCTGTCCAGAAGTTTAATTCTTCCAAAACTAAATCACTTGAATGCAATGCTATATGTGAAGCTTTATGTAACTCCAAAACAGCCTCAACATCCTTTAAATAACCCTGAACGGTATTGTAAAATTTGTCTTCTGAAAAGCGACCAAGTATGTCTGAAATAAACATATATGAAAGTTAGCCAATTATTTTATTATTGGGAGAATAACAGTAAAGTCTTAAAAGAATAAACTATTGACATTTAGGTTTTTAACAATTCTTTTTAAAAATGAGTTATAAATATTGATTCAAATAATTGTAGAGATAAAAATCTCAATTGCAAATTGAGAGTTACATTTAGAATTTAAATGTTTTATTTATAACTAAAACTCTTGTGTAATTATTTAAATTGAAATTTGCAATTTATTTTTTAAAAAATTCATCAAAGATCTAACTATCATTAATTTCTTCTTTTAGATATTAACTGCCATTCTTTATTTATCATTTCATATACACATAATTTTATTTTTTATTAAAAAAAAGACACAAACCTGAAGAAACATCATATCCATGCAAACGTAGTAAACGAAAGGCCAAGGCACATGTTGTGGGTTCTAAAAATATATCATCTTCCTGTTGCCACAATCTATTTCAAAATCAAAATTGAAAAACAGATTAAATTCTGCAACCCATTTTCTTATTTTCCCACAGTAAAAAAAAATTCAATTTCAAGCCTTTCACTCACAGAAAGAAAAAATATGAATAGTTAAACTTACCTCCATGTCTCGTCCAATACACTTTGGATTTCCTCCTTAAAATGGCGATTAATCCCCAATTTTTCGAGACTATCAACCACAGGAGTCGAGCATACACATCAAAAGGATGTACTGTTGGAACTGAAAAAGTTATAAATTTTTGTATAAACACAACAAATATATCAGTCTTAAAAATTGTTATGCATAAGAAATCATGTCCATCAAAGGTTTAAAATTACCAGCATCCCCAAATTTATCTGAGAGAGATAGTAGATAATCGAGACCCTGGGTATTGTTAATGTGAATAAAAGCTGCTGCTGTAGTGGCTGGTGAGTTAAATAAAGATCCATTCTTTCTCTGAAATTTCATAGCCATTTCCCAATTCTGGGACTTCCCAAGTCCTTCTGAAATGTATGCTACATATGCTTTCCATCCTTCTGATTTGCTTCCCCACCCACTACAATTACAAGTGTATATATGCTTATCTTTCAGATTTTTAAATTGAATCAAAAGAAATTTGTAAAATGGGATGAAAAAAGATAGACACATTTTTTAATCTCTTTATGCCCTTGGAATGGTTTTATTATCCAAAAGGTTAAAAGAATTGAATTGTTATCTCTCTTCCAAGCATGAGACACTGCAGGATCTGATATATGTTAAAGAAGCATTCTGTGCACCAGGATGAAATTAAAAATGATACCTTTGGAGTTCCGATTCCCTCTTTTGAATGAAATTCTCTGAACAATTCCCTCCAAGAGGAAGATTTAGATCCAAACTTCTGGTTTGATCAATTAAATGAGAAAAGATAATATCAAATCCAATTGGAGAAAATTGCTTATCATCATGAGCTGCAGCAATGTTTGATTCAATATATCCAAGTCCTTCAACAAAAGAGAATGTCCCAATTATTTCACTGCATAGGCTTCTTCAAATCAGACAAGCATCATATCTTATTCATATACATACATATATCAATACCTGCATTGATTTGTTGTTCACCAGCACCCCATTGCTTAAGTGCAACAACACAAGCCAATGATGATAGAAGGGAGTCTTTGGTCAACAACTCATCACGATTAGGAAGACCCCATGATCCATCCTTTTGTTGATTCTCTAATAACCATTTTAGGGACTTAGGGAATAAAGGAGTTTGCAGAGAAGAAGGTGATGGTATCATTGCCATCCAAGCTGTATCATAACAAGATACAGACAATTCAACTTTATTAAGCATCTTCTTTATTCTCTCTTTATTCATCTCTGATACCTGCATTTAATGTAATTCACCATCTTATTATTATTGTTGTTTTATAAATAATTGTTATATATTAGAATTAATTAGATCTACTTGGAGATACAAGAAATTGAAGGATGATATGTTATACATCATTGTTAGGTCTGCTCTGAACTTTGTCCTTTGCATTTGATCCATCTAAAGTTGCTGGTGGAAATGAAAGTACAAACAAGACATTAGGCTTCCTTAATGGTGATGCAAAAAAAAAAAAAAAAAAGCACACACAAACACCACTTACAGTGATCTTCTCAACTTGAAGATTAATTTAATTAATTCAAATTATATGCTTGTGCGAATGTGAAAAGAAGAGTCATTTCAGATATATATATCATATATGCATCTAAATCCTGCAACAGTCAACATTTTCTGTATAACCATGAACAATTCGACTCATTTCAAATCCAGTAAAAACAACATGGGCCTAAAATCTACCTGGTCACCTAAGGGAGGGTTTTCATGATGATTTAACTTATAAATTATAAACAAGAATGTCTATAGCATGAATTTATTTTTTCATTTATTCCTACCTTTGATTTATTTGGGAATCAAAATATTACCCCCAGTAATAATTCAACGAAGATTTGGAAATGAAATATTTTTAAAACTTAAACGTATTAATTAAATCAATCATAAAAATACACTCCCTCCGGTCCTATATTCTAGTCCCTTTTAACAATTTCACCAAAACCATGGAGATGCATTGATTCAATCCCTCAAATTTAATTTTATCGATTTGATCCTTTATATTTTTTTTAAAATTATCATATAAGTTCTTGAAATTTTAAAACACAAATTAATTCTCGAAATAATCTAATTTGTAAATTAAAGTATTTTGATAACCTTACATGTATAATATGTAGTTAAATGAAAACAAATTAACCCTCAAATTAATTAATTTTTATTAATATATAATCACTTTCAATGTGTTTTATTCTCTTGTATTTAAAATTTTAGAGCCTCTGTTTTTTTGCCTAAATAATTATACTTTTTTTTCATTAATATACATAGCTACCATTAATATTCTATTATCCATGTCAATAAATTTTAATAGTATTACTTTTTTTTTAAACAATAAAGACGAAATTCATAATCAAAGTAAATTTAAGGGAGCAAATTGATAGAAATTAAATTTGTGGAATCAAATTGATAACTGAAACAAATCTAAAGGACTAAAAGTTGCATTATCCCTATTTAAATTACTGATGTTGTTTTAAAAAGAAGAAAATTCCTGATTTACCCTTACTAAATGAACTATTTTTTTTAAAAAAAAATCCCTTGCATATGAAAAATTATGGGTGTTAATTGTGGACAAGCTAGGATAAAACTAGGAAAAATAAATATTTTTTCATCAAATTTAGAAAAATAAATAAATTTTTAATTTTTAAAAAGCATGAAACATGTTGAAAGCATCCTAATTTATGAAACGAAATGAGTACAGTGGAGAGCGAGAACCTGGAGAAACCGAAGGAAGGAAGCGAGGGAGCCAGAGAGACATTGGTTGCCCACAAAATGCAGAAGGAATTTTTTTTCTTTCTGCGCAGCGTCTGGTGCTCTTCACACTCGTTTGTGTGTGTGTGTGTGTGTGTATATATATATAGGACAGAGACACTCTAGATAATTAATTAAATATCCTTTTTTTGTTTTTGTCTTGTAATATTTTTTCTAATTAATCCCCCAATCATGATGGAGAAAGCAGCCTATTGTTGACTGATCTAATTTTCTTTTTCTTTTTTTGGAATTGCATGATGCGTAATTTTTTCAATCTTGGGATGGGCATTCAAAGGGGGTGTGGAAAATATGATGTAAGCATGCAATAACTGACTATCATGATGTTACAATGTGTTTGGTGGTGACTGGTGAGATTGACTTGGTCAGCATTTAAATGAGTTTCCAGGCACCGCACTAGAAGTACAAATATCAATCTCGCGCTTGTAATTAATTCAGCTCATATCCTCGTAGTAATATAAGTCTATAATTGTGTGAAAATAAAATAAATTTCTAATTTTATTTATATTTAAATAAATAATTTAAATTCACATTACATTTTTTTATAATTAATTAGTTTAAATAAAGATAATATTAGATAAATGTAATACCTTATATTAAGGACTATCAATCAATCTCTTCTAAAAGATGTGTTATGGTAAGAAGAGAGAGGAGTATTTGGTATACAAAAAAGTGTTTATAAAATACATACTAAAATATTCAATAACTGCATTTCTCTCTCTGGTTTTTTTTTTCCCCTTTCTACTATCTGTGCATTATTTTGCTATCCCTTTCATCTTAATTTATAAGATAACTTTAGACAAAAATGCCATCATGTCAATAAAACTTAATAAATATATTTTACAATATTATTTTTTTCAAAAAATAATATCATTTTTTAAAAGTACTCTTTATTTAATAACTTTAGAGAGAGAGAAAAGAATAAGAAGAAAAGGATAATATGAAAAAAATATTTAATGAAACATTATTTTTATACAATAATCTTATAACTTAAAAAAAAAACAGTCGTACACACTGAATCACCTCTAAACTTGACTTATAAACAACAGGCACAAAGGGGTATTTTTCATGTTCCTCAAATCCAATCAATGTATATGTACGCTTGTTCAGATAAGAGAAGCTTAGTATATTTATATATGACTCTGTAAATGGACTAAGGTAACACTTACCTTTTTTTTTTTCTCTGCACTTTATGATAATATTAATTCCTCTATTTATTTTCTGTTCACTGACACCGCATTACGTAAGTGGATTAATAGAAGCCAAGGTAGATTATGTACAGTAAAACATTTCATCACAGTGGAAAATATTTTCGTTTTATTTTATATATAGTTCAAAATACGGCCCTACAAGTTTGGAAGAAAAGCATGCTGCTTCCCGGAATTGTAGGTAGGTCTGGAAAGGACCTGACTATTATATAGGGCGGAGACCAAGTCAAAGGGGGTTCTGGAAAATATCATGCAATGAACTGACTATTATAATGTTATAATATTTTTGGTGGCGACTGGTGAGATTGACTTGGTCAGCATTAAACAAGTTTCCAGGCACTGCACCGAAAATAAAAAGAGAGAATTACATTCAGCTTCCGTCTAAGACAATTATATTAATCTGGCGGTTGTTATTAATTCAGTTCATATCCTCATGGAAAATCCAACCGTCTCATCCAAGCGGAACAAGTGGGTATAAGTCAATAGCTGTGTGAAAGTAAAGTAAATTAGACACTCCTTTAAAATTAAACTCTCTCTCTCCTTTTTTTTTAAGTTGAGGGTGAAGTTTCCAAGGTTCTTTTTTTTTTTAATTAGACTCTTTTTAAATTTTTACTCAGCTCATGATATTGGTACTTTCATTAAGACATTAGTGTTAAAAAAAACTATCCACAAATCCTTCAGATTGGCAAGAGACAGAGTGAAATCTCATGCAATAGAACTGATAGGGACACCTCTTAATATATTAGTATTTTAAGATAAGCTTTTTTTTAAATTTGTGCTCATCATAATATACACACATACAATTTATATATACATATGTATTTTTTCTTTGTATGGAGATTTATTAATATTATGGTATTACTTTTCTTGATATATTATATGTCATAAATTGATTTTATTTTTATCACGAAAACTTTTAAGAATTAAAAAAATTCATTTAAACTTTGTTTAATAATGAATAAATTTTTATTTTTTATTTTAGCTGTTTTTCGAGACGAGACCAAACTCATTGTCAAACATGCAGGGTTGGCCTAATCCCAACTTGCTGCAAGAAGATCCGGCACCCGTGCGCGGTCTTTATACATTTCTGAATTAATCATAATATAAATTTAATTTATCATGAAATAAAGAAAAAATCACTTTCAGCTTCCTCTCAAAAGAATTAATCACAAATAAAAATCAATGTATAATGAATTATAATTAAAAAAAGAACATAATTTTTTTTTTAATGAGACTTGTTCTAAATGTTAGTGCAAAGTTTTAGTAAGATAAAATTCAATGTCATTTATTTTATTAAAATTTGACAACTATTTAAAAGTTATGTGTCTTAGTCTAGGCCATATCTATCAAGTTCTAGTGGTCATTAGAGTTTTATTTTGTCAATTGAGTCACATAGGGATTGAGCTCATTGAATTAGGGAGTCTATGATGGGGAATGGATTCAAAACTTAAAGAATTCACTTGTTTGCTTATTTGAGTTATTTTTATTTTTCATTCATTTATTCAGGAAACCAAAAACACATTTCTTCTTGATTTTGTCCAATCAATATTGATTTTAAGTTGTTGAATGATTTATGAATTGTCTTTAGTGACTTAAACTTGCCCTTTTAGAATTTTATGACCTAAGGTTTACTCAACTACATTCTAGTTTGTTTGAAAAGTTTGATATAACTAAGAGCTTTTTATGGGGCCCAATCAAAATGATAATGTAATAGTCCTTTGTTGATGTGTTATTTTTAATGAACGCCACATATTTTAAATTATTATGTGAGTAGCATCTTGAATCATAAACTTTAAAATTTAAAACAAATTACTTCTATCATTTATGTATAAAACGCTAACTATTATATAAATTAAATCAATGTCAATGTGGTCTGCTGTGATGAATGCATTATTGATCACAATGAATAACCCATAATTTTATGAAATAATGTTTTTGCCTCTTTTTTTTTTGTAATGTTTTTTAAATGATTAATATCTCATACTTTCATATATTCTATAACTCTAATTTTATCTTATTTTGAATAATATTTATTTATATAATGACAAAAATTTAGAATTTCATTTGAAAAGAAGTTTTAAATATCAAAGAATTTTACAAGTGATGGATGCGAAAGCCGACAATTTCATTAACAGATTTCAAACCCAAATTAATTAATAATTAAAATTTTTTAAATATAATTTATAAATAAAATTGAAGAAAGTACCTCTATTTAATTTAAAAAAATTTATGGGCAACTGTTGTATTTTTTAAAAATTTATTTAATTTTATTTATAAATTATGATGTAACTTTTTAAATAATATTTAAAAGATATTTTTAAAATTATTTTTTATGAAAAATAAAAATAATATATATTATTTTTAAATTTATCATATAAAAATATATTTAAAATTTTGTGCACTTTTATTTTTTATATTTTTTTATATTAAAATTAATAAAATTAATAAAAATAATTCATAAACAGAATCGGTGGAATGTATTTGAGTTTAAAAGAAGAATTAAGACAGTATTTTAATTTTTCTTTTTATTAGTTTTACATTTTGTATCCCGCTGATTCAGGATCCTGTGCGTCCACTCCCGCGTATTGCTGTCTAGCGAGGCACTAGTGTTGATTGGTAGTTGAGGTGACAGCTATGGTAACGATGATTGGTTGTTTCACAAACTGGAAAATTGTTTTATAAATTATTCTCCAGAATCTCACCAAATTAATATAAAAATTAAAAATATGTAAAATTTTAAATCTATAATTTTAGAAATTAAAAAATAATATAATATTATTTTTAAGAAAGATAATTTTATAAATATTATTTAAAAAATTATATCATATTTATAAATAAAATTAAATACTAGATCTTTTAAAATGTTATTAAATAGGGCATTTTGAACAGGACATTTGACTGACTTGGCTTTTGGAACGGGACATTTGAGGCCCTGAGCACTTAAATCATGAAATTGACTGACTTGGCATTTTGAACGGGACATTTGAGTACCTCGGCACTTTCAATTTGACTGATCATATAAATAATTCAAAACCTCGATTCAAATGTCGTCTAAAATAATCAAATTCACAGCCCATCATAAATTGATCAAGGAAATTAAACAACGTTTATTTTAAAAAAATTATAAAATTCACAAATTTCATACAACTCATTCAATATTTTCAGGATTGAAGCCTGAAGGGGATCGCAATTGAACACCTTCAACTTGACTAACCAATTAATTAATTAGTTAATTCAAAACTGAAACTGCCCAGGTTTCAGATTCAATCAGTGTTTAAAGCATCCGTCTTACTATAAAAAATAATCAATTCAAGACTCCATCAATGTGGATTTACCCATAATTTATATGGTGTGAGTTTAAATGTCGCTCCAAAGTTTTAGACCCTGTGGTAAGCAACCTATAAATATTTTTATAAGTGTACTTTGAATTTACAAGCATATCCTGATGATTTTAATAACTTCTTAAAGCTCAACTCACCTAATATTTATTTTTTAAAAAGAAAAAAATACAATATTTAATCTTTATAGTTTTATTGAATTTTTTTAGTTTATGTAATTTTTTAAATATTTTTAGTTTTTATAATTTTAAAAAATTGAGTAACTTTTAGTTTTTAGATCTTTATAGTTTTTATTTTTTAATAATTTTAATCCATATAAAAATAAAAAATATTAAAAAAATATATGAATTAAACTCAATAAAATTATATGAATTAAAGATTATGTTTTCAAAAAACAAGTACTCCATCCATTTGATCAAGACGTTATGACTTGTGAGGCTCTTTTTTTTGAAAATATGAACACGTCTAGTAAAAGACAACTCATGACACG